TATAAGCATTTAATACATGGTTTATAAGACACTATAATGCAGATATAAGTGTTTATTAATGATGTATACATTTTTGGCAAAATACTGTACATTAATAAACACTTCTGCTGCTTAAAACTCCATTATAGTGTGTTATAAACCATTTATTAAATGTTCATATACTGCTTATAAATGCTGAATAGGGGGATTAAAGTAAAGTGATAGCTGAAGGTGTTCAGCTCAAACTGTTAGAGGAAACCGATCGCCTTAAATGTATTAACTCCAACATTGATAAATTGATTTGAGTACAAGTAACTACTGTATTGTAAAAGGTACATTTAGTTAATTGTGCTTAAAACTATTGAGTATATTACTCTCATTTCTCCAAACTTATTTAAAATGTGTTCACAGAATTTATCTGAACAAAGTAACTTAAATGCATCTTCTTTCTACAAATGTTACCACAGTTTTCTTCCAGTAAAGCAAATTATTACATTTACCTGTCAAAACAATTAATTCATTATCAATGGTAGCCAGTTAACATAAAGTCAACCTAAAGAAAATGAGTCAGTGGAACCAACTGGAAAACATCACAAATTTAAGTGCACTCAAAACAAGTTATTACTTCAACAATTCATGTTTGAGTTGGGTTTATTTAATGTGAATGACTCAAACTTTGGAGGATTGAGTTATGTTATCTTACTTCTTTTGATATGCTGTTAGGATTTACAGTGAACCAACTTTAATAAAAAAAACTTTTTCACATTTAAAATCAGACTCAGTCTGCATTTTATCCAGTTATAATCCATTGTTGCAGCAGCACTGTCCTTCATTTGCACCTATCAACACATTCCCAGCTGAGATTTACAGTCGACGCAGATCTGCACTATTTGAGGGTTGAACGCCCTTCTCAGGGAACTGCAGCAGGGTTTGTTATGCTGGGAAAATCATTACTCATTCACACAGTCGAGGGATTTAAACTGGCAACCTTCCCATTATAAGATCCCTTCTCTTACATTCTCTTGATTCCTCTTACTCGCTGGTATCCATGCAGATAACGTTAAGTGGCACGGCTCTGTATTTCTGCAGAAAGGTGGGAACATATAAAATACTAACTGTGTGCTCAGATACAGGCACTCTGTCTCGGATCAGGATTGTAAATGCGTTAAAGAATAATGAGCTTGATGTATCTTTTGTGTTGTTACTGACCCATTTAGGAAGTCCCTTCCCACCATTTTAACCGCAAACAATTACATATATCAATATTTGCTTCTAAAAACCCCCAAATGAAGATATTTGAACATTAGAACATTATTGTGGCACATTACTAAAGCATTGAATAGAAATATCTAAAGGTGGCATCACTTAGTCCAAAATGTGGCCATAACAGATCATTAAATTAATAACACATTATCTTTCAAATTAATCTCAAATTGACAGCACCTACATTTTAAATGGGTGGCAGCTGCCCCACAATTCCCCCCATCATTAAATTATTTAAAACCTCATAAAAAAACAACTATCTTTTACTTTTTTTGTCTTTTGTCTTGTCAAAAAAATAATTTCCTGATCTCTAATCTTTTGTTGAAATAATT